CACCAAAAGCGGGACGTCTGGTCACCTTAGCCTAGACAGAATGAGAAATTTCATCAAATATCAGAATGATAATAAAGTTGACGGAGACAAGGTCACTGAATTCCTGTTTCGCTTCCGTTTTCCACTGCCTTATAAGTGGTGAGGATAGACAGATGGAGCAGGGCGTGGCTAGGTTGCAGCTGATTGTCTGCCCAGCGGAGGCCTCAGAAAAGAATTTGCTTGGCTTTTATTCCACTGCTGGAGAGGTGAAATACAATCACTGCCTTCTACCACAAAGCCCACATTCCCTCCTCCGTAGGCTGTAGTGAAAATACCATAGCAAAATGCCCTTGCTGGGTGCCATCTAGTCAATTCTGACTCATGGCGGACCTGTGTGACAGACTAGGACTGACCCTATGGGGTTCATATTGTCATCTTTCTGGGAACAGATCATTAGGGCTCCTCCTGAGCAGCAGTTCAGTGGCCTTTCAGGTATCAGCCAAGCTCTCAGTCATTGCACCTCCAGGACTCCTTATCAAAATGTAGGAAGAAATGATCAGCTCTAAATTACTCCTTTAGTAAGGAATAATTAGGAGCCCATCTTTCCTGTTGAGTCCAAATACCATTAAAATAACAAAACTCACTTCCATTGAGTCAATACTGACTCATAGCAACCTTCCTGTGGATGTCTGAGACTGTTACTGTGTATGGGAATAGAAACCCAGTCTTTCTCCTTTGGAGCTGCTCGTGGTTTCAAATAGCATAGAGGATGGTAAATCTCAGTCCAACTCAGCAAAGCTCTTCTGCCCTGCAGATACCTCCTGGGAAAACCAAATAATCAAGGTTCAATGGGCGCTCTGGTGGTACAGTGGTTAAGCACTTGGCTGCTGACCAAAAGGTCAGTGGTTCACCCTCTCGGCTGCTCCATAGAAGGATGTAGCAGTTATACAGCCTTGGGTTGTATAATTCTATGGGTCAGTTCTACTCTGTCCTGTATGGTCACTGAGTTGGAATTGACTTGATGGTAACATGTTTTTTGGGCGGGTGTGTTAGAGTTCTCTATAGAAGCAAAATCAGTGGTGCTTGTATGTGTTCCATATAGAAAAACGTTATATCACAACATGGCTCACAGTTGTAGAAATAAGTAAGTCCAGTCCAGTTCAAATCTGGCATCTCCTTAACTCATGGAAGCTGATGAATAGAAAGCAGGATGACGAAGCAGAGAGAGTAGAGGAGAACAGGCTGGTGGATGCAGAGTCCAGAGTTGGCTGAATGAATCCACCAGTGGTAGTTCACTGACGACTTCTGCAATCAGCAGATGACATAACGGAAGATAGGACAACCAGATGCAAGCTCTAGCAGGAGAAGGGCCAAAGAGGATCCGACTCTGCTCGGTCCTTCTCTCTCATACAGAAAGGCTTATGGCACCAAGGAGGTGCC